CGTAACTGTTTGACGAGAAACTCGACTAGTTTCAAGCCATGCTTGAGGCTCATATTCATGAGTAGCATTCCACGAAACACGAGGCTGCGGTGCGCACCCTGCGCGCCTTTCGCTGTGATTCATGCGCACTTTCCTCTGTCTGTATCTAGACTCAAGGAACACACATACATACGCAGTGTGAAGAACTGAGAAACTCATACATCGGCAGTAGCCAAGTATATTTGTGGGACAGGCTGGTCTCGCTTCCTCCGTTTCTACAAGGTCTCCGTAGGACGTGAGGGCATCGAAATAAGTCGTCGTCCGGACTTCAACATAGACGGTGGCTGAGCACTACCACCCCCTGGCAGCCGAGTCTAAAATCTGCGTCAGATTACAATGTTGTGGGTCTGAAGTGTGACACAGTGAGCACGGTATATAGCACTGTTTTTACGTCGACTGGGGACTCGAATCCAACACCTATGCAGTTGCCACCGAACGAGTGTGACGGTGTCGTGCCATTAGATACAGTAAAGTGCGCGTGAATCACGGCCGAGTGCGCGCTGGGCACGAACAGCAGACTCGAGTAACTAGTAGTAGCGCCGCACGACAGTCGTTGCGTCGTGTGTCGCGGAATGCTGCTCATGAATATGAGCCTCTAGCTTGGCTTGAAATTAGTCGAGTTCCTCATCAAACAGTTACGTGATCATGGATTTAAATTAATCCATATAAGATATATGCATTTTTATCTTTACAGCTATCGATCCTTCCCTCATCGGCTGGACTCACAACCCTCACATTCTGAGCGCCGAAAAAGCTACTGTAGTAGAGGTTCTCCACGGTACCGCTGGTGTCCTCGGCTACGACTACCCCTTGGGAGACCTTGACTTTTACCCCAACGGTGGTACCTATCAAAATGGTTGCGGTCACGATAGCTCTTGCTCCTACATTTTGAGTTACGCCTTCTATGCTGAGTCTCTAACTGCTGTGGGTGGTAGCCAATTTGTTGCTACAGCTTGTGACAGTTACGAGGAAGCTATTTTTCAAACATGCTCTGGGGATAAGGGAGTAGTCTTCGGTGGCATCGGAGATAAGACCGGGTAAGGATATTTTAATATGACTCAGTTAAGACTACCTAGAATAAGTGCTGTAGTGACTAATTACTAACACGATATTATATCTTACTTTTCAGTCTATCCGGTATCTATTCGTTCCAGACTAACTTCGTGCCTCCGTTCGCTCAGGGCTAAAAATTCATTTATTCTGAGTTTTACCTAACAACAAGAGAAGAAAAAAAACTACCATTAATTAACAATAATAAAAATGTAGGGGTAACATGATTGGTTAAATAAATGTGTATGTTTGAATTTCATTACTCTTACTTTCCTATAATTCGTAGGGAGGTTAGTTAACTTGCAATATCCCTAAGTTGAACAATATCTAGTAAAAAAAAATAGATCGGTCTTATAATATTAAAACATACAAATTTTGTATTTGTTAATTTTAATATAAACAATAGTTATATGAATACATACAATGATTGTGATTTATTAAAATGTAACAGTTAGTGCCTTTTTACACGTTCCCGTTGCCGGACAGCCGGTGCCGGGCGCCCAGGGCAGCAAAATATTTACAAATTACGCCGGTACGTGTGAAAGCCAGGTACCAGGCCGGTACATGGGCATACACTGTGCCGCCTGTTACCCGGCGTCGGCTGCCCGGCAACCTGAACGTGTGAAAAGGCACATAGTCATGCTCTGTGATTTGTTGGTTTTGTTGGCCTAGTAAATACTTTATATTGACTACGTCGTTGATCTGGGGTCCGATTATGGGTTCAGACGAAGTTAATTAGTTATTAGTTATTAATTCAGTTCTTAAATAATTTTTACCCCAATATGTACATACATATTTTAAAGAACTTATCATTGTGGCATTTAGATCAATAGCTGATATTAAAACGTCATTCTTCAATAAATCAATCATAAGTAATTGGTATGAGATATCTTTAAAATCGTGCTAAATCTCAACAATTAATGAAATCGAATTACTTTTCGTAAGTACTTTACAAATATTTCACAATATTATTTTAAAATAACTAATATGTAAAACACGCGTTATATTATAATTTGACTTCAAAGTTTGTACAAAAATTCGTTCCGCATAGATATTCTTAGGAGTCATATTTAGTAGGGAGGAGAAGATAGGCGGCCTGAAATTGAAAATTGAAAACCGAGGAAGACGGCATAAACAGAAGGAAGCTTACACGCTAAAGGTAAACCCAGCTAATAGTGGAGCAGTAGAAACTGGGCTAACAAAAGTGGCAGATGCTCTCAACATATCAGTCATAAGAGTGCCAATTATACAAACAAATAAAATACAAATAATTTTGTGACATAATTTATGTGGGATTGAAATGCGATAAAAATGTAATCAATAAACAAATGACTGCTTTTGGGAAAAAAATCATGATTTTAGAATAAAATTAATTTGAAATGAGAATTCTTAGACAAACAAAACACATTTTGATTTGAAATGGCTAGTACCTACTGCGAAACAGCAATTTCATAGTTAAAGACCTAATATGTATTTTTACTGCATCTATGTGTATTGAGAGTAAATTTTTAGAAATAAATATAATTATTAATTAACTAAAAATCGCGGGTTACTCACGTGAATATACTGAGAAAAGCTCTACTAGTTTCATATCACAGCGGGGTTCTTCCTCATGAGCAGCGTGCGCGGTCGCTGCGACGTCGCGCAGCTCACACAGCAATGATTAATTATTCTTAGGAAATAAAATAAATAAGATATTGGCAATTTGAGCAACTCCTCAAGAATGGTTTATGTATCAAACGATGTAGTTTATGCACTTATTCTAGTTTTATCTCAAGGTAACTAATTTTTACCTGTGCTAACATCACGTTAAAGCATTTCAAATAAAAAGCTTATCTTCTATACTTATAATAAATCTGTAGAGAGGTCAATTCTGTACATAAAATATATTTAAAAAATAACCACCCGGTTAGGGATCGCTACTGATGCCAAAAATGCAATCAATAAAATTTTTGTCTGTCTGTCTGTCTGTCTGGGAAACAAAAATTACTCGACAGATTTTAACGAAATTTGGCACAATTATTCTATATACTCTTGGGCAGGTTATAGTATACTTTTCATTATGCTACGATCAATAGGAGCAGAGCAGTGAAGGGAAATATTGGGAAAACGGGAGAAGTTACTCCATTCATTAACTTAATACACAAGGAGTTACACGCTGACGGAGTCGCGGGCACAGCTATCTATACTTTTCTGCCGGAAGTCACTATTCCACGCGGACGAAGTCGCAGGCAAAAGCTAGTGTTGTAATATTTAGCTGCACCAGGATGATTGTATTTCAACTATCTAGCTAAATACATTTTATTCATGGACTGGCTCACGGTTTCGATCACGCTCTTTTCAAAGATGGGGCAGAGTTGTTTTTATAATAACTATCGTGAGACATACTAAATTAAGTAAAATCGCGGGTTACTCACGTGAGCTGCGCTACGTCGCCGCGACCGCGCACGCTGCTCATGAGGAAGAACCCCTCTGTGGTTCGAAACTAGTAGAGCTTTTCTCAGTATATTCACGTGAGTAACCCGCGATTTTACTTAATTAATGGGGCAGGTTTATAAAAGAAGAAAAAGAAATGGTGCACGATTTTTTGCTGCTCACAAATAACCCGCAAACCAATTTTTAACTTTCTATCTTGAAAATTGCATCGAAAGAGACAAAAAGTAGCCTATGGTCTGTATCCATCCTTTCAACATATCTCCATTCAAAAAATATAATGACATAAATTTCTTGGTCCACTCTGTCGTGAAAGACGAACAAACAAAGAGACGCACATAAATATATAATGTTATGTAAAGATTTAATAATGTTAAATAATTAAAGTTATGGATCATTGACAATTTGTATACTTTGTTATCATGATATAACATAGCGAACGCTTAGTGCAGTGCAGTTTAGTTTTCCAAGTCATTTCAGCTGGAATTATATTTCGCTGTAGTCTCTCTAGTCATTAAGTATGTCTAAAAAGCATTCAAATAGTTGTCAGCACTCTAAAGAGAGAAATCCATGATTGGAATTTTCAGTTAACTTGAAATCGTCTTTTTTCATAAGTACCTATATCAGATAGCTAATTATACAGGTATGAATATTAAATTATAGCTTAGGTACTGAAACGATTCTGATGACATTTGTTACACAGCATTGCAATTAACCTCGAAAAGACTAATTAAAATATCCAAATTCGGTCAGAAGTCATAATAATACGCAGACGAAATCGTGGGGGGAACAGTTAGAAAATAAATAGACTGTCTTATATTTGACATAACATCATCCCTCCTTTGATTCCAAAAAAGGAAAGATAAAGATTTACCACAATACTAGGCTTTTGCCTTAAAGCTTTTATGTTTTGAGAGTTGAGAAAACATTGAGCATTGTCTAGTATTTATTTGCGGATTAAGTATATATTATCAAGAAACTAATGTTATTACATATCATGTTTAGATATAATTATATCGCATAACATGAGGTGATAGTTTAGTCGTTCTAGTCTCCATTGTCTTGCGGTATGTCTTATCAATAATTATCATGTAATATTATAATACTAATACTATAAATATTATTAACTTTCATAATTACCATAAATATTTGCTTTATAAATAAATATTTGCTACACGTTTCTTTAAAGTAAAGCACGCTTTTAAAGCAAGGTAAGGTTCAATAAATAAACGAAAACTCAACTATGCAAAATCGTGGCTGCAAGCTAATGCTTGCTTTGCTTAATAGCAAAGCTATGTGTTAAATGATAAATACCATTAATCCTAAACACATTTTTTGTCCCTTCGTTTGATTTAACGGACTGAAAATAATGAAAACAAACGGTAATTTGCTTTTCTATCGTAGATATCTGTAATATAAATCTGTTTACTGAAACAATAGATTAATTAATCCTGATTGAAACAATCATTTTGATAACACGTTTTATAAAAACGGATATGAATCGAGAACTTACATGCAGTAACCATTGGTCTCGTGAACATGAAGATTTTGGTTGTAGTAGCAGCTTTGGTGGCGTGTTAGTACTTATTCTTATTCGTACTTTCTATTTTGTTCTACATATTACATTTTGGAAGGAGGAAGGAATTTCATATATTAAATTTTACGTTTATATGTTTTTCAGCGTAACCGAGACTTTTTTTCATTCTTCATCACATCATTATATGACTAAATTATACGGCAATCATTTTTTTAGTGTGCTCCGGCCACGCTCTACCCACCGTCCCAGGAGACAACAGCCATTATGTTGAGGGAGAGAGCCGCTACATCTGGATGCCTGATGGTGAAGGAACACCTGTCCTTGTTGACCTCAATGAGCCAGTCGATGAAGCGCTGCTGAACTCTAGGAACGGAGCCAACAACGCATACTGGCTATACACCAGGTAACCTTCTAAAGTCATTAACTCATTGTCCTTCTTCATCGAAAGCTTTAACAGTTCTTTATTTTATTCGGAAAACGCATTCACTGTCAGCACGGTCAATATTGACCGATCCGACGCTAGCGGAAGATTTGCCTTCAAAAGTTTTCGCCTTCGGCCTACATCGACGATCAATGACTCGTGATGATTTTATCGTTACGAAGTCTTTAAATCATTTTATTTTGAAATACAACAATGTGCTTGTATTATTTTATTCTTATGATCTAGTATTATAAAACAATACGAATAAATTGTTTTATAATACCAGATCATAGGGTTCTAAGGGTAGTTTCACTTTTAATTAAACCAATTATTTTAAATTACCTTTCAGGAGTAACCCTAACAACGCTCAAGTCATTGTTAATGGGAATGCAAACACAATCTGGAGCTCTAATTACAACGGTGCTCGGCCCTTGAAAATCATCGTTCACGGATGGAACAACAATGGAAATACTGCCATGAACCCACTTATTACTTCTGCCTTCCTTGCTGTCATGGACTGCAACGTCATCGTAGTAGACTGGCGCGCTCTTGCTAACTCCGCGTATAACACTGCCGCCGCTGGTGTTCCCAGTGTAGGCCAGCACCTCGGCAACTTCATCAATTGGCTCATCAACACAGCTGGTGGTAACTGGAACCAAGTCCACTTCGTAGGATTCAGTTTGGGTGCTCACGTTGTCGGAAATGCTGGACGACAAGTTAGTGGTCGCGCTGCACGTGTTACTGGTAAATTATTTCACGTTTTATCATATCTAATATCTAAATACGTCTTGTAATATTTGTGAGAATCTAATTTATATTTTCGTTACAGGTTTGGACCCCGCTGGCCCTGGTTGGTCTAACAACGGCAACGCTTTGAACAGCAACGCAGCTCAATACGTTGAGGCTATCCACACTGATGGCCACATTCTTGGTATTCACAACCCTATTGCTAACGCTGACTTCTACCCTAACGGTGGTAAAAACCCTCAGCCTGGTTGTTGGATAAGCACATGCTCCCACGGTCGTTCAACTGAGCTGTTCGCCTCTACCGTGCGCCACAACCACTTGATCGGTAGACAATGCCCCAACATCTGGGAAGCTGAACTCGGAACCTGCAGTGGAGCTTCCTTCCACATGGGTAACTCCATTGTTACCAAACGCGGGTAAGTTTCAAAGTATTTTATTATTAAACTCTAATTACGACTGATGAATAATTTATCGTACAAATTATTTTAACAGCCCTACTGGCTTTTACATCATACGTTGGCATTGAAAATGTTGTACGTTAAATAATCCAAAAGAAATATTGATCTTTACAATCACTCACTGCTAAAGTTAGTCGTTCTTAGAGACTCAATTATTTTGTGTTCTACTTAGTGCAGTTTCAGTAAGTCGAAATTTTGAAATCTGAATAAAATATTTAATTGCTCATTGCTTTACTTTACAGAAACGGTCTCTTCGCACTCAGAACGGGATCAAGCTGGCCTTTCTAAACAATCAACTCTGCCTTAACAAAATGTGGACATCTGAATAATTATATTACAATTTTAAATAAGAATCTGAATAGTTAAAATTATTAAATTGCTCTTAATTTACTCTACACGTTTTATTTGTTCTAAAATGTATTTTTGTAGTTCCTTCTCTATGTTCTGTATTTATAAGTACATATTTCAACTACATGGATTTCTGTGTAAAAGTAACAAGAACATTACATTAACGGTAAGACGTTAGGAGAGTTCAGAACGTTGTTTCATGGAGAGGCAAGTATCTTATTTCCTTAGTTCGCCTTAGTTAGCCATTGTGCTGTTGGTCATATGACTAATAGGACAAAGGCATAATAAGTTTAACCCATATGGGTTTGAACTTATAAATTATATTCAATGTAAATATAGGTATATTACTTTTCTGTTATACAATAGTTTTATAGTGACAAAATGACCAAAGCATGCATTTTGTATTAGATGTGGTTTATGCGCTCGACTCGCCAGTTGAGTCCACGATTAGAATGCTTAGGAAATTGATAACGGTAATGCCGGCCATACACGCTACGGTCTACCGGAAAGGTCCACCTGTGCAGGTATGCCTGCGCAGGTCAACCGAACATTGGTAGCGTGTATGGGTACGTTCCGGTGTATCGGAGCGGTCTTCAGTTCTTTTTGCGATGGCATCGAATGTGGACGAAGACACGCTGGCATTGCTAGGTCTTGCTTTAATTTTGAAGATGAATAATACGAAAAAGAAGCGAAAAAAGTGGTGTAAGCATTGGTTATTGAAAAGAAAAACATATAGTCATGTTAATTTATTAAGTGAATTGAAATTTGAACCAGAAGATTTTAAAAACTATCTTCGAATGGACGAGAAAACATACCTTAAATTACTTGAAATGGTTACTCCTATGATAAAAAAAGAAGACACAGTTATGAGAAATAGTATTTCTGCGCACGAAAGATTATCAGTCACATTGAGATTTCTCGCAACTGGCAGAAGCTATGAGGATCTAAAATTTTCAGCAATTATTTCGCCTCAGGCACTTGGAAAAATTATTCCTGAAACATGTGAGGCTTTATATAAAGTACTCAGAAGAGATTATTTTAAGGTAAGTCATTAAAACACTGTTATATTAGAGATAATATTTATTGAAAAAAATATGTACGATTTTAATCATTAAAGTAAAAAACTGTCACGTACATACAAGTTATTCATTATGAACATTGAAATTAGTAATGAATGTCGCTGCCGAATCTAAAACTACCTCTGTTTCATTGGGCTGATTTTCTGGAACTGTAGTTGTTCGTATTTGTGGCGAGTAGGGATTGCCTTGGGAACTGTTGAGATGGTTAGTTTGAAATGATTGAGAAAGATACTCTGAATTTTGACTGGTGGGAAATAGAAAACAGGGTGGGCTAGGACTTCCGGAAGAAACAAAACTTACAGGGGTATATGCCCTATTGGAATTAGGAGAGGCCTGATATGCATGTTGTCGATATTGCTGAGCAGGAACATAGCTTCGTTGATTTTGTTTCAAAATATCTCTCATGTTAATATAGGCGTGCTCGGGAGTGAGGTTTCCTATTTCTGCTTCAAAAAGTAAATCATTAATAAGTTTTTCTGCGACTATTAATTGTTTCGCATCTAAAGCTTTCAATTTCATCGCCACGTTTTTTCCAATAATATCGCACCTATCTTCTGTTACAATTGGGCGAGGGCGCTTAAAGTGATCTCGTACCGATTCCAACACTTCATTTGCTAAGCTTTCATCTTTTCTTTTTGTTTTCCAAGGTTTTGGTGGGCGAGATGAATTATTATTTGACGATGTTGATCGAACCTCGTTGTCGGTAGATGCGCTGTTGGATGAATATTCTTCAGCGGCATTTAAAGAGTCTTCAGTGTTGTCTTTCTAAAAACAAAAAAAATTGATACATTTTTGTGTGCATACGCTATAGATATTTCACATCAATAATAACTACTTTTGCAAGTATTTATGATAAAAACCTATTATTTTTATATTACAGTTTCCTAAATCTGAAGAAGAGTGGAAAGAAATAGCAAAGATGTATGAAGAACGATGGAACTTTCCTCATTGTCTTGGTGCAATAGATGGAAAGCACATATCGATTGTTCCACCGGCTAATAGTGGATCGTATTTTTATAATTATAAAGGGCAACATAGTGTGGTTCTTATGGCAATTGTTAATGCAAAATACCAATTTATTTATATAGACGTTGGCATGAATGGCAGAATATCCGATGGAGGGGTTCTACAAAACACTAAATTTTTTGAAAAATTAGAAAATAGTGATTTACATATTCCAAGCAGTGAATTGTTAACAGGAAGTAACCGAAATTTACCATATGTATTTGTGGCAGATGACGCGTTCCCATTACGCCCCGATATGATAAAACCGTTTCGACAGGCAGATTTAACATCGCAAGAAAGAAGAATCCTGAATTACAGATTATCTCGCGCGAGACGGACTGTTGAAAACGCTTTCGGGATAATGGCATCACGATTTCGGATATTTTATACTCATATAAATTTAGAACCCGAAAATATCGATAAAGTAGTGAAAGCATCTTGTGTATTACATAACTTTTTAATTGAACACTCAAAAAAGTCTTATGCACCTCAAAAATGTTTTTATCGAGAAAACTCTGAAAACGGGACTATAATATCTGAAGGATACAATACACAAAATAGCACCATGGTAAACTTGGAAAGAAGAAACCCAGGAAATACTTTGAACAACGCGAAGATAGTCCGAAACAATTTTATGAATTATTTCAATCAGGAGGGAAGGGTACCATGGCAAAATGATCATGTAAATTAAATAATACCTAAGGCTGAACGGGCAGAGTAGGTACATAGTTCTAAATAGTTATAGTTGTAAATAATTATGTTATTATTATATTACTTAATAAAAAAAAATACTACAAACTATGAAATATTTTACTTACCTCACAACTATTTTCGTCATCACTATCTAAGTTGGATGAAGATTCCCTTGGAGTGCATTGATCATGAATGAAATTGAACAAATCGTAGTACCACAGTTTAATACGATACACATCATCAGCAGATGCCCCAGACTTTAAAGATTGCTCATATTTCTTCGTTTCCTTTCTAACATTGCTTCTTAGGTTATTGATCTTTTTCACAACTACATCTTTGTTCGCATCTGGCTCAATTATTCTCAATTTTTCTATGAGTAATTTATAAGCAGCTTCTTTTTTGTCTCGATTATGGTAATCTTTGTTTTTAATTTGCCATAGACATGGATTACTTCTATAAATTTCAATAAAATCTTCAAGGATTTTTTTAGTTGAATCTGGTGGCGCCATTTTCTGGCAATACGATGCGAGCGATGAGACGCCCGTTTGAAAGAAACACTAAAAAACAACTGACGCGACCTGCGCAGGCGACCGGAGTACACGCACACACGCACAGGTACACCGTACGGTGTCACTCGAAAGAATCGATTTTCGATCTTGCGCCGGTTGCCTGCGCAGGTTCAAAAAACTGCACAGGTCTATTCCCACACACATTCCGGTCTACCTGCGCAGGCATACCTGCACAGGTGGACCTTTCCGGTAGACCGTAGCGTGTATGGCCGGCATAAGACACTATTACGCTCTACGGACTACGCAATACGGTCTGCGCACTATGAACTACGCGCTATGAACTACACGCTACGAGCTACGATTATTGTAGTACACGCCCTGCTGTTGACGCCCTAACAGGGCAACTTTGTTGCTCTGTTTGGGTGCTTAATTAATTTAATTTTGGGTGTTTAATAGAAAATGACCACATCTTGTTTCCTGCGGGGTTCAAACTATACTTACATCTGCAGCTGTAGCCAAATGCCACTTAGCGCTTGTCTACATGTAGAATAGACAACCAAATTATATGAAATTGACGTAAATTTTGACACTTGTTAGTGTCATCTCCATACATTTTGATTTCTACCTCTCTGTAGACAAGCGCTAAAGTGGCGTTTGGCTACAGGCACAGGCCAGATAGCAGCTAAGCGCCTCGTCATTACCAATAAAATATACCGGCTCAGCAGGTTCATTAAGGGAAGGCCGCAAGTAGAGAAACGTAAGTGGACATAAAGAATTTTATAAAAGTTTGAGAACGACCCCTAAATATTGCACCGCGCCTTACCTTGCAAAATCAATCGCGTCGTCTGCTTTTAAGTTTTGTATGGTTCCAACCTTTTGTATATATAAACTGACAATACACCAGGTGCACTGACGTGGTACTGAAAGAATTGAAAAAGTTAAGATTAGGCAATGATACCGTGTACTCAAGGCGGTCCTCGCCGTGATGACACCCGGGCGTTTTCTCTAGCCCCATCAGACACAGGTACATACCTCCCGAAACTTCCATATCCGGTGAGTACCTGCGTCAGACGATAGGTGAGGACGCCGTAGCGTCTCTCAAGCCACTCCTCAAAGAGGGGACTTACCGCTGCAATGGCAGCGAGCCCAGTCCTCGTTTGCGTCAGTCTTTGCTGCCATTCCGCCATGAGATCGCGCCGGAGCTCTTCCCGCCACGCACTAATCAGGCGTGGCAGCGGAGTTCCGCCCCGGCGACGTGTCTCCGCGCGTAGAAAATACACGCGCGCGAGCACCTTCACCTCCAGATCCGACGGCGGTAATCCGGCAAGGAGGTTCGCCGCCTCCCTGGCGAACGTGCGGTATCCGCGGATCATTCGGATCGCCATGGCCCTCTGTGACGTCAGCAGCGCCCGAGCGGGCCGCCGCATCAGGTTCGGCGCCCACCCTGGAGTGCCGTAGAGGGCCATTGACCACACGACCCCGGCGTATAACCTCCGGATAACAAAAAGCTTGATGTTATGATTTATAAACGATATAAATAGGTCCCTAACAAACTTCAACAAATACCTCCGACGCTTTGCTCCGCATAATTTAAAATTCAATGTCGATAATAATTAGGTAGAATAAAATAAAAAAGCACTGAAATGTATCAACATAGGGAATAAGTACAATTCTGTATGTGCAATATCTTAACTACTTAACAAAATGGAATAATATATTCTTTGCCATGTTTCTATTGACTAAAATCGCGGGTTACT